GCAGATGGACAAAGGGGAGACGCAGCGGGCAAAGAAAAAAAGCAGGGGGAGGGGGGAAGGGGCCAGAGGAGGGGGAGGAGGGAGAAGGGGGGGGCAAGGAGAGGGAGGAGGACACGGAAAGGAAGAAGAGGGGAGAAGAACGAGGGGGAGAGAGCGAACGAACGAACGAACGAACGAACGAACGAAACGAACGAACGAACGAACGAACGAACGAACGAACGAACGAACGAACGAACGAACGAACGAACGAACGAACGAACGAACGAACGAACGAACGAACGAACGAACGAACGAACGAACGAACGAACGAACGAAGAACGAAACGAACGAACGAACGAACGAACGAACGACGAACGAACGAACGAACGAAGAACGAACGAACGAACGAAACGAACGAACAACGAAACGAACGAACGAACGAACGAACGAACGAACGAACGAACGAACGAACGAACGAACGAACGAACGAACGAACGAACGAACGAACGAACGAAAAACGAACGAACGAACGAACGAACGAACGAACGAAACGAACGAACGAACGAACGAAACGAACGAACGAACGAACGAAGAACGAACGAACGAACGAACGAAACGAACGAACGAAACGAACGAACGAACGAACGAACGAAACGAACGAACGAACGAACGAACGAACGAACGAACGAACGAACGAACAACGAACGAACGAACGAACGAACGAACGAACGAACGAACGAAAGAACGAACGAACGAACGAACGAAGAACGACCGAACGAACGAACTAACGAACGAACTAACGAACGAACGAACACCGAACGAACGAACGAACGAACGAACGAACGAACGAAACTAAGAACGAACGAACTAACGAACGAACGAAACGAACGAACGAACGAACGAACGAACGAACGAACGAACGAACGAACGAACGAACGAACGAACGAACGAACGAACGAACGAACGAACGAACGAACGAACGAATCGAACTAACGACGAACGTAACGAACGAACGAAACGAACGAACGAACGAACGAACGAACAACGAACGAACGAACGACGAACGAACGAACGAACGAACGAACGAACGAACGAACGAACGAAGAACGAACAGGAACGAACTAACGAACGAACGAACGAAGAACGAACGAACTAACGTAACGAACGAACGAACTAACGAACGAAACGACGAACGAACGAACGACGAACGAACGAACTACAACGAACTGAACGAACGAACGAACGAACGAACGAACGAACAACGACGAACGAACTAACGAACGAACGAACGAACGAACGAACGAACGAACTAAACTAACTAACGTAACTAACTAACTAACTAAATAACTAACTAACTAACTAACTAACGAACTAACTAACTAACTAACTAACTAACTAACTAACTAACTAACTAACTAACTAACTAACTAACTAACTAACGAACTAACTACCTACCTAACTAACTAACTAACTAACTAACTAACTAACGAAAATTCATTATAAAATCCGATATACATAAATACATATTTATGTTAACAACTAGTATCAACTTTGATATAAATAAATTTCTCACAATATCAATCATTTTACCGTTTTTTGAGGTCCAGTGTAGGATCTATGTTCCTCCCGTATTACTTAATTTAAAACTTTAACATTTTGTATAAATAACTCGGTAACGGAATTTTAGCGACAATGACAGTAAAACAGAAAAATTACTTTAGCGTTTGCCAAATTGAGATCAACGGAAAATCTCTTCTTAAAAATATAATGTAGAAAAATCGGGGTAATCTGAAATTTTTATTTCTACTCAGTGTAACCGAGCCAGCCTATTTTAGATTTCTACTAAACTGTAAGTGTAAATAAAAACAAGTTAGCAATTAAACTGTATACTAAACTTCAAATGTAATTGACCAAGAAAATGCTTAGTACGCCTTTTCAATATTTTAACCGGTTTTATTAAGCTTGTCTTAAGTAACCTACATTGCAGTTACATGTAAATTTTATTTACTCTTTTTAGCAAATATTTTTAATTCAAACAGAGACTTCGTTAACCTCTAATATCAAATGCGAATATATTTCCAAAAAAAAATTGTATATAAGGGTTTAATGGAGCGTAACGTAACGTATCTTAAGAGAGGGCAACTGACAACTAGAAAGACTGTAAGAGAGCGTTAACCGAATACTTTGCTGAGGAAAACTTTGGATACCAGGTCACTCAGGAATAACCTTAAACGAAAGTTCACATTTACTTCCCACAAGGAGAGTGGAGGAAGCTAAACTGTGCGATGCAAAATCGTTGGACGTGATGAGGACAAATTAAAAAATGGGTCCAAATCTAAAAAGTTACAAAAATTTAATTTATTTATTTCAAAATATAGTGCCTTAGAGTGTTTATTATGATTTCAACGCATTGCACGTAAATAGTAAGAAGTACATAACATTTTTATTGGAATTATTTTCTTGATTTTGATTTATCAGACATTCAAAATTTGATAAGAAAAATCGCATGTCCAAAATTCAATGTGTTTAACAATTGTAGAAATTTATGAGTTTATTGATTATTATCGCTAGACTCTTGTTAATTTGAACGAACAACTAAAAATATTCATAAGTTCTTATCTTTAATTTCGAATAGTTTTTTTTTTATGAATAGTTTTATTTTGGTTAAAAAAAATTAAATGAGTAATAGTACTTGACTCGGGGATAAGAAATTAAACTTGTTGCTTAGAGTAATTTTAAAATATTTATTAATAGTTTTTAATATTATTTTAAGTGATTTGAGGCTTTTGAGGAAAATTTGCAGAGTTTAATATTGAAGGTATTGAAATACAGAACTTCGGAATGTTGTTCAAAATATATATAGCGCATAAATATATTCAAAATTCTCTATCTTACAGAATGTACTAAAGTCTTTAGGAGTTCTTAACAAACTGTTTATTTCTAGGATATTCTTCTAGGACCACACTCACTATTTTGCTGAGAAATTTCATTATTTTTTTATGAAAAATTTGATCTTGAAAGTTTCAACTAATGTTTAAACTGATAATTTTCTACCACTTTTAAGATAATGTTTCATGATTATGGAATATGATCTTTAAACAAAGTTCATATTTACGTAAAAATTCGTATCGATATTTACGAATTTCGCTCAGAAACAAAATCCATAGATATGTATTTCGTATTTTAAACAGGTATTTAAGGTAATTGTCAATGACTGATTTATTATATTTTTTTTTTTCATAATTTCTAATCAGTTTCAAAAAAATAACTTCCTTATCAAAAAAACGCATAACATCGATTATAAAACGCATTTAACTAGAAATTTCATGTTATCGTATCATGTTCAAGGAAAAATTAACATGCATTAAACTTTTATTTAAAAAAAAAATCGATTAATAATAAAATTGAAAACTTTGAAAAGTTAATAAATATCTAAAATGGCCAATGAAATGTAAGATTATTAGTATAATTTTCTTTATTTTTATACCCTTCACCTTCGTGAGAAGGGTATATATAAGTTTGTCATTCCGTTTGTAATTTCCAAAATATAATTTTCCGACCCCATAAAGTATATATATTCTGAATCCTTATAGATAGCGGAGTCCGTCTATGTCCGTCTGTCTGTTGAAGTCAGATTTCTGAAGACCCCAGATATCTTCGGGATCCAAATCTTCAATAATTCTATCAGACATGCTTTCGAGAAGTTTCCTATTTAAAATCAGCAAAATCCGTCCATAAACAACGGAGATATAAGCAAAAATCCGAGACAACCTCTGAAAATTTCATAAAAAAAAACAACAACAACACTGCTTATTCATTGCCTTTGTATTATGTTTTTTTATACCCTTCACCTTCGTGAGAAGGGTATATATAAGTTTGTCATTCCGTTTGTAATTTCCAAAATATAATTTTCCGACCCTATAAAGTATATATATTCTGACTCCTTATAGATAGCGGAGTCGATTAAGCCATGTCCGTCTGTCTGTTGAAATCAGTTTTCTGCAGACCCCAGATGTCTTCGGGATCCAAATCTTCAATAATTCTATCAGACATGCTTTCGAGAAGTTTCCTATTTAAAATCAGCAAATCCGTCCACAAACAACGGAGATATAAGCAAAAATCCGAGACAACCTCTGAAAATTTCATAAAAAAGCAACAACAACACTGCTTATTCATATACCCTACACCACTTTAGTGGGGAGGGTATATTGGATTTGTGCTGATGTAACATACATTGTAACATACAAAAATATTCGTCCTAGACCCACTTAAAGTATACCAATCGGCTTAGAATCGTTTTCTGAGTCGATTAAGCTGTCCGTCTGGCTGGCTGGCTGTCCATGTAAACCTTGTGCGCAATTTTCAAGATAATTGGATGAAATTTGGCACGCACGTTTTATTTAACCCAAGGACGAAGCCTTGGTCCATTATTTCACCTAGCCCCCATAGAACAGAACCCCCCGAAAAGGGCTTCTGAGCTCATAATTATGTTAAATATACAGATATATCGATAAAATACGGCACAACTAAGTTTTATAGAAGTCTTGATAACCCTGCTAAATTTCATAAAGATCGGGCCCCATTTGACCCTAGCTCCCATACAAAGTCCCCTTCAGAAAATCACTTGAATGTCCCAAATTAACTTATAAACACAAATATCGCGATTCAGCACAATAAAATATAATGTAAATATAAATATATTCACAAAATTTTATCGGGCTTGGTCCATATTTGCCCCTAGCCCCCATATAAAGCCGCTTTCAGAAAATTAGTTTTTCATCCATAAATTGCTTAAATGTATCGGAACAAGGGAATATTGAAGATAAATGCGATATTATGAAAAATAAATCACATTTAATATTCATAACGGGTGTAGGGTATCATATGGTCGGCCACGCCCGACTATACTTTCTTACTTGTTTTTTTGTGTGTTTATTTCGTTTAGTGTTGTTGTTGTTCATTATATTTTGCTATTGCTATAATAATGATATAGTCGGAAAAATGAATTTTTAAATACACTA